TACAAAAATAAATAAATAAATAAATAAGATAGACATTTAAATGTCTATACTAAAATAGATTAAAAGATGTCTATACTAAGGTAGACATTTAAGTGTGTTTCAAAGATAGTATCATGACTACCATGCTGAAACATCATGTATGGCTCTTGATCTCAAGTTTTCTCTGTAGAACTTTATAATTGTTGTCAGTTAACATTCTGCAGGGATTACATTTCTAAAACAACCATAATTGGTAAGAAGTAACAGTCTTCTGGCTATACTTCATATTTGAAAGTGCTTGATATCCAGATGAGATTATAATAGTTAAGCTCACTGCACCCACTGCAATACTGATAGAACTGATCTTCTCTTCTGGGTGTTCAACAACTGAAGTTTGGAGACCAGAACTATAAAGGTAACTGGGCTAAGAGGACAGGTAATATTTTGGCCCTGGCTCTCCCACATCAATGAGGACCCAGGACATGAGGGAACCTTTTCTACAAGATTCTACAACTTCGAGTCACCCAGCCTCCTCAGCAAAGAGATTTTTGGACCTCAGAGGACAGGAATCAACAAATGCACGGTGTGCCAAAAGAGGATCACCAAAGAAGGAAAAGTCTTCCATGCTTTCATAGAATGCAACATGGTCAACCAAGACTGTGACCCAACCTGGAAGCTGACCTGGCAACCTGGCACTGATAGAGGAGCTGAGAGGCTCTCTGTACATGGTTCCAAAAGTAATACCTGAAACGGGCCAGGATTTAGCTCAGTGGTTCCACCACCTGCTTTGCAAGCAGAAGGACCTGAGTTCGATCCCCGGTACCAAGAGAAAAAAAACACAAACAAATACCTGAGAAGACTTAGCTGACCTTGGTAGACAGCAAGAGGTTAATTTTTTTTTGGTACCAGGGATCGAACTTGGGTCCTTGTGCTTGCAAGGCAGGCAGCGGAACCATTGAGCTAAATCCCCAGCCCCAAGAGGTTAATTTTGATTAACATGGGTCCAAATTTAATTTGGTCTTTAACACGCAATAGAAAAGTATAATCAAAAGATGTATGAAAACAATACCATAGTAATAAAAGCTAGATATAAAAAGGGGCTCCAATTGCTGACCCCTTCTGGAAATTTCCAGCTGCACCTGTAGCTGACCACTGATAGGGTTTGGGGAGGCTAAAAACTATGGTGGAAGGCAGGGGATTTAGCTCAGTGGTTTCGCTGCCTGCTGCGCAAGTGCAAGGACCCGAGTTCGATCCCCAGTACCAAAAATAAAAATAAATAAATAAATAAATCCTTTTTTAAAAAAATTAAATAAATCCTTTAAAAAAAAAAAACTATGGTGGAAGCTATAAAACTCAACAAGACTCTTTAGATTCCTTTGCTAAAATTGTCCTTCAAACCACCACATTCTCCATCTTCTTACAGCTTAAACTAGAGGGACATATAGCAAGAAATATCAGATGTATAGATAAGTCTGATAGACAAGTAGAGGGGTCTAGGAGGCAACTGGTTATAATTGCCATTCCAGTTCCTTAAGAGCAGTTTCTGGATATGGCTCTTTCCCCAACCTGCCTTTCCATTCTAGTGCCCATGCTTTGATTATACATGCTCTAATTTCTTGGATTTTTTTTTGTACCAGGGATTGAACTCAGGACCTTGAGCTTGCAAGGAAGGCAGTAGCACCACTGAGGTAAATCCCTGGCCCAAGAAAATTTATTTATTCTTGCCTAGAGGCTGACAAATTCCAAGTGATCATGCATATGGAACCCATGACAAATATAGCAGACTCTTTTAACTGGGATCCACTAGATTGACCTTGTGAAGGGAGTTCATAATTGCTTAACTCCAGCATGATTTCTATCTGAGGCCCATTAGATTAGCTCTCTGGAGAAGCCCCCTGACTGCAGTCACCCCTACACTGACCCTTCTCAGCTTGAAGCAACTAGACAGAAACTATACCCATTCTCCCCTCACCACACTTAGGGATACCTTTTCATAGGGGGAATATAGACAGTTAAATTAGGTAGAAATATTATAGGCAGTCAAACAGAGCTAGACCCTCAAAGGAGTCAATGCAGAAGATGAGAACACATCAGAACTATGGCTGGAGGTGCATCTAAAGAAGATTAAAATTGTGGTTCCACAGCCTGCCTCGAAAGTGCAAGGTCCCAAGTTCCATCCCCCGGTACCAAAAAAAGAAAAAAAGGTTTAAAGTCACAATGCATTCCTGAGGGATAAAGGGAAGTTTAAGATTACTGGTCCGGGGTTACTTTGAGTTCAAAGACAGGCTGAGATACACAGTGAGTTCAAGGCCAGCCTGCACTACAAAGTGAGACCCTGTCTCAAAAACAAAAACAAATAATAATGAGCCATTATCTCATTAAGGGTGGGCCATCCTCTCCCACCAAGATTAAGACTACTAAATCTAAAACTACTAAGACTAAGACTAAGATTTAAAACAAAGGGGGGAGGGCAGGGATTTAGCTCAGTGGTTCCACCGCAAGCTAAGGACCCAAGTTCATCCCCGGTACAAAAAAAAAAAAAAAAACAAGCCTAAGCCTATAGATTATCAACCAAGGTTAATGATGTCTTCCATATGCCCTTGCTAATACTGGATCAATATTAGCCAAGTGGCCATACTTGTAATCTTATTGGTTGATCATAGTTTTGACTCACATTGTACCTGCCTCGTGATTTTGCTCCATAAAACTTTCTCAGAGAAGCAGGCTCATTAGCAACCCATTCAGAACCCCTCCTGTGTCTGAGGAGCTATTCCTATTCCTCATTCCCATTCCCCAGTAAATTTTCCATTGTTCCTTAGAATTCATTTTTTGACTTCAGTGACTTTGGGGAACAGGAACTTGCCATATCTGACGTCTAGCAGGTTGGGAGGTACATATTTTTCCTCATATGTCAATAGGACTTTTTCAGTTCCACTATTAAGGGACCATCATATTATAGCTATGTGGTCCAAGGTTGACAGAAACAGCACAAGAACGGCCAGGCATAGTAGTGCACGCCTGTAATCTCAGCACCTGGGAGGCTGAGACAGGAGGATCACAATGAGTGCAAGGCCAGCCTGGACTGCTTAGTGAGAACTTGTCTCAAAAAAAAAATTTTAAAACAGCACAAGACTACAGTAAGTGGCTCAGGACTTGGTAGTTTGAAATGCAAACACAGAAGCCTCACTGCTACAAGAAACGTTTTTGTTTTGTTTTCCTCTTTGTGGTTTTAGTACTGAGGATTGAACCCAGGGTCCTCATATTGAGCTAAACCCCTAACCCTTTTTAAAGTTGTTATTCTGAGACAGAGTCTCACTAAGTTCCTAAGTTGAATGGGCTGGGCTCAAAGTTACAACCTTCCTGTGTCAGCCTCCCAGAGTGCTGGGATCATAGGGGTACACCTGCACCTGGCTGAGAGGCTCCTCAGAGGAACTGCTGTATCTGAGTTGGGCCTTTCAGAGACACCTCCAGGGTTCAGGCAACTGGCAAAGGTTGGGATATCCCCTGTAGGGAAGGGGGTAGGGAACAAATTAAGACCAATTCTCATAAGGACAACTACGGGAGAGACAGGATATTCAACGTGGTTGTGGAGGTAGAAATGCAATGGGTATAGAACTTTCTTGAGTTGACCTTAATCCTCTGAATCTTGGATGTGCTTGAGACCAAAAGAAGGAAATAAAGCTGGGTGTGGAGGTGCATGCCTATAATCCCCATACTTGGGAGGCTGAGGCAGGAGGACTGCAGTGAGTTCAAGGCCAGTCTGGGCTACATAGTAGGAAAAAAAAATAGGAAATGAGCCAGGTGTGGTGCCACAGGCCTGTAGCCCCAGCACTCTGGGAGGCTCAGGCAGGACTGTGAATTCAAATACAGTCTTGGCAATTTTGCAACTTAGTGAGACCCTGCAGGCTGTGGCTGTAGTTCAGGTTGAACACTCTGGGCTCAATCCCCATTACTGCCCCGGGGGCGGTGGGGGTAGGGGTTGGGATGTGTACCGATTAAACAGTGCCCAAGATTGGCACCGGGTACTAGCTGGGTAGAAAGGGGAATTAAGCCATGTGTTTGGGAAGGACCTATGGATGGTCTCCGCACTGAGAAAGCCCCAGCTCTCCTAGAAATCTGCCCTCTTACTTTATTAATGGTATGTTACTCTCCTTGTGTAAAACCAGGCATGGTGGCAGGCCCCTGTAATCCAAGCATTCTGGGAGGCTGAGGCAGGAGGATCACCAGCCCCGGCAATTTAGCGACTCGGATACTCTCTCAAAATTAGAAATCAAAAAGGGGCTGGGGACATAGCTAGAGCAAAAGGCAATAAATCAAATTGTGCCTAGGGCACACTGCGATTTGTCAACACGGCCAGACCCAATGGCAAGAGTATTCGATACTATCCCAATCTGCCACGAACCTGAGAAATTACCAGTATCTTTAATTCTTGCTGCATACTCATTTTTGCCCCCTTTGCTCTTGCTAGTAGATGGAATGCATAGCAGGATTCAATTCTCTTCCTCAAAAAGCGAGGTCCAGCAGCTATGCTAGTTCAGCGGCAACCCATACTGTCTCGCTCCCCCTTCCAACATCCAGGCAGCAGGGAAATCCATAAAGGCAAGTTTAGGTCTGCATTCCACCACCTTGCACTTTGTTCATCACCTTGGCCCCTGGGCATCTCGGAGGTACCGTTACGTGGGGCCCTCTGCCTAGAGGAGGTGGCCATTACTTGTGACCCTTTGGCCGGAAGAGGTGTGCCCGAGTGAGTGGCGCTCAGTGGAGGAGGGCCGCGGGGTCCCCGCCAGGTCTGGGGTGCAAAAACCAAGAAGCAGGAGACAGCGCCGCGGGCCGGAGGACACTGGCTGGGCGGGGCGGGGACAGGAGGCGACCGCGCGTTAAGCAGTGGGGCCAGCACACAATGAGTCGCGGCGACCTGCCAGGCGCGCAGCCCGGACAGCTGCGGGGGTCCACAGCAGCCCGTCGGCCCAGCCCGGGAGCGGCGGGGCGTACGTGAGCGTGCGTGCGTGCGTGCTATTTGCGATCAGGCGGCACGGCGGACAGCCCCGGAGGCGGGGCGGGGGGGGGAGTTATATTGCGGGGTCCTTCCTCGCTCAGCCTGGTTCCTCTCGGAGCGGAGACGGCAAATGGCGGATTTCGATACCTACGACGATCGGGCCTACAGCAGCTTCGGCGGCGGCAGAGGGTGAGGCGGGCCCCGCTCGGGCCTTGGGGAACTGGCAGCATTGGAGGGAGCCCGTGCGAGGCAGCTTTGCTGCGTTTACCCCGGGTGGTGGAGACAGGGGCCAGGCTGGGCCCGCGGAGACCTGGGAGAGGCGCCTGGAGGGCTGGGGCCTGGAAATGGCGCGCTCCGTGGGGCGGCTAGGCTCCCAGCCTTGCTCTTGGGGCGAATCCCTTTTTCTGCTTCCTGGCTGCGACAGCACATCATTTTTTCTCTAAGCCACCCGCAAGGCTGGATCTCCGTGGCACCGAGTGGCCGGGGACAAGCGCGGCCAGCGGCACCCTTCCCTGCGGCGGGGCCAGCGCGGGGCTCTGCTGTGGCGCGGGGTGCGGGCGCCGGGCCGGCTCCCCCGCGGCTCCCTCCGTGCTCCGGAGACCCGAGACCGGTTAGAGCTAGGGCTGCAAGAGGAACGATTCTTTTCCCCTTGGCTGCTCGAGCCCAGGAAGGGTCAGATTTGCTGCCAGTGGCAGGAGGCCGGGGAGAGGGGGGAGACCGACGAGAACAAATACATCATAACGTGTCCTTGTGTGTCAGACCTTGATGGATCAGAGTGTCTTATTGACAGGTGCTTCATCCATGCTGGAGAAAGATTTTCTAGTTTGTCCTTCTCATCTGGAGAAGGAATTGCATTTTTTAGCCTTGTTCTGATACTGGTCAAATGCAAACTACTGCTCCTTTGAAAGAAAAATACTGGTGGATAGAAAGCTCATGATGTTTAAGTCCCGGACCCCTCACTGTATGTTTTTAAAAACTTACTGCATACAAAATTTAGAAGATAGGCTATACCATCTTGTTATTTGTCAAGGACACACTTGGCCTTTGTGTTCTTTTACAGAAAGGTTTACTTTGCCAGGCTAACACCACAGTAGTACCTACTGAGGTGTCCAGTCCCCCGGGTTGCTGACCAAAAAGTACCTTTGTTTGGTGTGAAGAATGATAACTTTTAATACCTTTGGTTTGGGAATGGCTCAAACAAAGGCTTGTTTCCGTGAGGGAGTGTACCCAGTATCATTCATAACACTAATGTGGAAGTTGGAGTAGGCAGAGCCACCAGTATTTCAAAGAATATTTTATTTGCTAATAAAAAAGAAATAGATGTTGGATGACATGTAAAGTTAGCGCCTTTGGGGTAGGTTTCTAGACATCAGATTTGTACTTCAGCCTTCTTGAAATTTAACAACTAGGGTTTTTTTCTTGTTTGAAAAAACCTTCAGAAGTACTCAGGAAAACTCTTCCTAAACAAAAATAGTTCGAGTTAAGCTATTAGTTGCAGTAGGACTACAATAGATGGCCGTGCTATATGAAGCTAGGCACGCCTTTATTTTGAAATTCTCCTCAGGCAAATTTGCCAGCTTTTCCTGTAACAGTGGAGGTGTTCAAGTTAGACTTTGTGCCTGTCAGATTTTGACAGTTGGGAGAGCTTTGGACAATCAAAAAAATGAAGAGTGATCAAAGGTAAACTCTTACAGCATGATTCATTTCAGTTATCAGCAGGCAAATGAAAATGTTAACCGTTGCCCCCAAAGTACTACCAAAGCTGGATAGGAAAGCTACTAGCTAGCACTCACCCTACATCTCTTAAGGCTTCCTAACAGAAAGCCTTCATGCTGTTTATTTCTTTTCTTCTGTTACTGGGGATGGAACCCAGAACCTTTGCACTAAGCTACATCCCAAACCCTTTTTTACTTTTTTATTTTGAGATGGTCTCTCGGAGTTGCCAAGTTGCCCAGGCTGGGCTGATTCTTCCTGCCTCAGCCTCCCACAGTGCTGGGATTGAGAGCCCCTTTGCTGTTAAGCACCACCTGCATCTCACCTTGGAATATTCCACCTGGCCTCATATTCATGTAAAAGTACATGGAAAGTATTGTTCAGTTTCCTAAAAGTAGTTTTAAAACCTGTTAGAGGGTTTGTGTATTTATACATGAGTGAGGCTCCACAGAGGACCAGATCAGGTTTTGCACTCAAATATAGCAGTGCAGTAGGAACAGTGGACCAGATGCTGCTCCTTCGTGATCATTGCAGTTGTCCAGTTAGGTTCACATCAGCAATTGTCTCAGTGCTTCCTGGACAAGCATATTTATATATTAAACATGATGGAAGATTACCACCTATTGGAAAGCCAGTCTTGTGTGGCATTATTTGACTCTTGTATAAGGTATCTTTTTCCTTACTCTAAAACACCTCAACTGGTAGTACTTCTCAGCTCTATAAGTCACTTGGATCACAGACAAAAGGAATAGCAGGCTTGAAATGAATAGTGATCTAAAAGCCTGGCTTTAACTATACATTCCCCTTGCTGGATGCGGTGATCCCTGCCTATAATCCCAGCACTCTGGGAGGCTGAGGCAGGAGGATCACATGTTCTACCCCAACCTGGGCAATTTAGTGAGACCCTGTCTCAAAATCTAAAAGGGATGGAGGAATAGCTCAGTGTGAACTGAGTTCAACTCCAGTTGGGGTACACATTTCCCATAAGCTTATTGGGTGGTTGCAGGAAGCAACATTACATGACTGCTTTTTCCCCAAGCCTCTACAAGGTATGTTCCCAGCAGCCTAAGGAAGAGTGGGGAACTGTGTTATCCACCAGCCAAATCAAAACACAGTTCCAAATTGTCAAGAGCTGACTGTACAAGGTCTTGAATGGATTTTATTTTGAAGTTTGCTAAATTATCAATGTTTGCTTGTTGAGACAGGGTCTCACTTTGTAGTTTCAGGCTGGCCTCAACTCAAAGGACCCTCCTGTCTCAGCCTTCCAAAGTGCTGGGATTACAGGTGTGCACCACCACTCCCTGCTTTTTTTTTTTGAGGCAGGATGTCTATGCTGTTCAGACTGGCTTTAAACTCACCTTGTAGCCCGGGCTGCCTCGGGGCAGTCCTCTTGCCTCAGCTTCTAGAGTGCTGGGATCACAGACTTGTGCTGCCAAGCCTGGCCTTTGTTTGTTGTGTTGTTTTGCTTTGTTTTGTTGAGACAGGGTCTCACTATGTAGTTCAGGCTGGCCTTGAACAACTTGTGATGATCCACCTGCCTCAGTCTCCTAACTGCTACAGAGGAGCACCACCACGGCTAGCTTTTGTTTTCTTTTTTTTTTTTGGTACCAGGGATCAAACTGGGACCTTGCGCTTGCAAGGCAGGCGCTGGAACCACTGCGCTAAATCCCCGGCCCGTGGCTAGCTTTTTCTTTTTCTTTTTCTGGTACCAGGAATGAACACAGGACCTTGCACTTGCTGGGCAGGTTTGGCACCACTGAGCTACATCCCCGCCCCTCTAGCCTTTTGATTTTACATTTCTAATGGCAACAGAACCTTATGAGGGATTAACTGAAAACCACTGGACCTCATAGGTAGCTAAAACTGAGTTTGCTGAAATTGTGCCTGCTAAAAGTAGTAAAGGTACAAATTTAAAGTATTCTTGAAATTGGGTGCAGTTCCTTGCGCCCAGAGCCCCAGGTAATTAGGAGCCCAAGGCAGGAGGGTCACTTGAACCCTAGAGTTTGAAGCCAGCCTTGACAAAACAGTGTATGAGACCCATTGCAAAAAAAAAAAAAAAAATTACAGATTACAGGTGTGGTGGTGCACATCTGTAATCCCAGCACTTTGGAAGGCTAGGGGAGGAAGATTGCTAATTGGAGCCCAGCCAGGGCAATATGGTGAGACCCTGTCTCAGAATAAACAAAAAGATGGCCAGGGATAGTGCACACCTGTAATCCCAGCACTAGGGAGGCTGAGGTAGGAGGATCGCTGGCCAGCCTGAACTACTTAGGGAGACCCTCTCCAAAAAAGGAAAATAAGTACAAACAAACAAGGCTGAGAATGTAGCTCAATGTGAAGGCTCTCCCTAGTACCCCCTTTCCAATATATACTGTACATGTGTTTGTCAGGAAGCTCTAGTTAAGAAGCTTAGAATTCTGACCTTTGAAGCTTACAAATTTAACTAGCACGTTTGCCTAAATTCTTAAGCATATACATTTTCTAATTTTTCTTTACTGTGGTTAATACATAACATCAGACTTAACATTTAACCATTTTAGATGGCCAGTTCGGGGGGGGGGGCGTTAAATACGTTCACAGTGTTGTACAATTGTCACTGCCATTTATCTTGCTGACTCCTCATCTTGGAAAACTGAAACTCCCCATTGAACAGTCCCCTGCTTCCTCTTCCTCCGAGCCCTGGGCATCTACCGCCCTACTTTCTGATTCTAAGCATTGTTCTGTTGTTTTACGACAGGATCTTGCTTAGTTCAGCCCGACCTCAAGCTCACTGTCTTCCTGCCTGAGCCTCCTGAGTGCTGGGATCACAGGCGTGGCCACCATGCAGGCTCAGGGTGCTGCACGCCCACACTCGCAGCTGCTCAAGAGTCTGAGGCAAGACCATTGAAAGTTCAAGGCCAGCCCAGACACCTTGGGGAGACCCTGTTTCAAAATAACGAAGGTCTGACTGAGGATGTATTCCCTGCAAGGCCCTGGATTCGATTCCCAGTAACTCACCCCTCCCCGCAAAAGACAGGATAGTGAGGAAGCAGTGTGTAAAAAGTATTACTATTTCCATTGATCCTGGGTTTTTTAATTTTAAAATTATAATTTCTTATCTGGCTTACTGGCAGTGTGTTACATACTGTGAGTCCCACTGCCTGGAGCAAGAAGACATTTATTACGTGTTTGTTGAATGGATGAGTAGCACTTGCCATAGCAATATCCATTGTTCAGTGTGCGCCCATGACCTCCATGAAAACGGGGGTCCCACTCATGTTCACTACTCTGTCCCCAGCCCTTGCCCAGGGCTGTGACTGTGCAGAGTGATGTTAGAGTAGGAGAGGGTGACCAGACTGAAGAACCTCGGGCAGCCTGGGTGAGCAAGTGTGTGCTAGGCTCTGATAGAACCCAGTGATGGCCATCACGATTGAGGCCTCTTTCCAATTGAGTGTCCTTGGGTCTTTGGAGTTTCCCCCATGCCCTGATTTCTAGGG